AGAAGGAACACGACTCCAAGAAGAAGAAGGACAAGAAGAACAAGAAGAAGGACGACTCTGACGACGAGAACGACGACTAGAGAGTGCCTCACCACCAAAAAGGTAGTCAACCGGACTGCCAACCCGTTGCATCGCCATTAGACTGTCCTTTCCAGCCCGCCCGCGCCCCCAGCATCGACGAAAGGCCATCCCACCAAGCCACGGCCCCGCCCCGTCTTGGGAGTTGCTCGCGTCCGGAGGTCCTCGACGGGAAGGACCAGGCGAGGTTGGGGCGCTGACGCGGATGACTGGACGGGGGCGTTCGGAGCGGATGTTTCTGACACACACACACTCACAAAACGAATTAGACGAACCCGCATAAAGCCGTCACGCGTGCTGACGCATTCTCAAAGAATACCGCATCTCTACTCTAGATGGTTATTTTGTCGCGTATGTTTTTGTTTTTTTCAAGGCGATTGGTTAGGCGGGCCTTTGTAAGAGTAGGGTTGCAGACCAACCCAATAGCATAGACCGCGCAGCGGCAGCAGCAGTAAGTGCGCGTGAGGAGGACGGCGTCGATGGGAAGGGGGAAGGATTAGCAGGGCGCCATGTTTGCATAGGGTAGCTATTGGGCAGAGGGCAGATTCTTGTACATTACGGTCACGAGCCGTGCATAAGCACTCGGCGAGTAGCCACACAATCAACAATTGTTCAAAAGGCACATGATTCGCGCGCGCCGTGGCCGTTTGGTGCAATGAGCATTGCGTCAACAGCATTGCATTTCAATTGGTATCCCGATCGAGGGGTCGTGACCTCCAATCGATGCCGTTCGAGGCGAAGAAAGTGGAATAACAGAGGGGAGCCCAATTGACCGGAAATGCTGACGCCTGCAGATGGGGGGCTGCCGACATGACGAGCACACCAACTTGAGTGAGACGCCTGCGCCGTGCATCGCGTCGAGGTCGGCTGGCGGCCGCGGGATTGGACCCCCCGATGACATCGAACGGTGGAACGGTCGTTTCTCCGGCGCTCGCCGTTATTTTATGATATCTGATGGAGCCGTCGTTCTTTGATACGAGATCGAGTCATGGTGACATATTTCATGTGCCTGACTATGGCCCAATTCGTTTCTTGCGCGATTGTGGACGGCGATAGCTGCTGTGTGTACTCTGACGCTCCTCTACAGCTTCGATGGTGGGGTATTCTTCCCTCTGGCTAGCTTTCCCTGCACTTCAGGGTCTGGTCTGGCGGCACGACTAACCCACCCACGCGGGATCGGTGGGGTTTGCGGGAAGACACTCGGGTCGGCTGGGATCTGGCAAAGGGACATACGGGAAGACCCTGGCATCGACACACCACGTCTTGTTTTGTGCCGTATCCCTAGTTTTCCCGCCATCGATCATCGATCTCGAATCTGCTGTCCTTGGCCGGGTACATCTGGCACGTTGAAGGCGGGAGATCTCCAGGCTCTCAATTGGAGAGGGCGCTTGTCGAAGCATGGCTATGCCTGCCTCCAGCGCTTAGAGCAGCAATTGAGCGAGAGCCAGAGACAGAGAGAGGTGGTCCGAGAGGGACGGGAAACCTTTGCAACGGCGTCCATGCATTCGACGATCCCAACCGGCCGGAGACTGCACGGTTGCGTCTTGTTGACCAAGCTCGACGTCAATAGCCCCGAGCCCACCGGGTGTCTGGGTGAATAATGCAGATGCAAGCCATGCGTACAGGACGACAGCCTGTCAACGAACAGACAGCCTCACCATTTAGGCTGCATCGGTGCCCAAGATGCAGGCAGCGCGCGAGAGTGGTTATCGGATCCGACCACTAACGTTGACCGACTGGCAGGGCTGACGGCGGGACAGCGCTTTCAGGTCGATTAGACATTCCATCCGATGGCCTCAGCAGAAGCAGCCCGGCTGCACTGGAAGCCAGGCCGGCGAGCCGTGCTTCAGACTAGCAGGGGCCACGGGTAAGTGTGAGCAAACACCATTCGGGGCTGGGGATTCTAGGCTTCCAGAGGCCGTGTCGCAGCCGACGGTACCAACCTCGCGCAGCAGGGTGATTCTGGATGACGCCGGACCAGTTCGTTTCGTCTGTGCATGCGGTGCCATGTTGCCGTCCCATCGTCTGTGATGCAGATGCTAGCTGCCGTGTCACCAAGACCATGGCGTAGCGTCAGGCAATGGAGGGCAAAAGGTAAGCCTTTCAAGCGCTAATTGGCAATGTGTTGGCTTCCACGACCGCAAGTGCAGATTTTGGGTCGTGCAGACGGTCTTCCCGCATGAGAGCGGCAGGCACGTGGGTATTTCGTCCCTGTCATGCTGTGCTTCTCGTGCAGACTTTGCACGCCGGCGGATGGAGAAAGATCCATCCCGTTATCTGTAAGATTGCGCAATGGTCACAGTAAGCGACGAGATTTTTTTTGCCGCGGATGGACGTGTAGAGTTTAGCCAGTAAAGACGCATCCCTCGTCAGACTCTCTTCGCATGTCGTTCATGGTGGTGTTGACTAGGCTCGAGGTGGCTTCGGCAATGGGACGGACGGCGCTTCTAGCCGGCGAGCCCGTCGCGTTCTCGTCGCCAGACGCCCGCGTCCGGGACTCGGGTTTGGCCGCCGTTGCATGGCAGAATAGCACCGCGACGACGAGTGCGCCATCGGACAAGATGACCCCCCCCCCAGGAGCAGATCTCTCAGATAGGCATCTCTGGTCCCTGAGCGAGGGAGTCGCGATTGGTGGATGCGACGGGGGCAGCTGGGCCTGGGGTATCCGTTATGACATGCCCCTGTTCGGTTGACAGGTATGTCCAAGGCCAGCGGCTGGCTGGCACCTCGATCGGCGTGATGTCCAGCCACCCATGCCGGTTCCTATTCTGACGGAGTGGGCCACTATGGAAAGCAAAGGGCGGTCAATTGTTGTTTCTGAGGTTGATTACCACGGGAATGCATCGAAAGGTTTGCATGGACGAGGTGGATGTTCGCAGGTTTGAAGGAGGGTTCAGATGAGAGCCTAACGAACCCAATGCCCAGGTTGTACATGGGTAGGAAGCCGCTAAAGATGGATGGACAGAGAGGGAGAGATGGAGGTGTCTAAAAAGGGTGGTGGTGGTGGTGGTGGTGATGGTGGGCGGCCTCGAGCCAAGGTGGGGGAGGGAGAGAAAAGTAGCGCTTCGAGGGCTTAGCTCGTCTAAAAGGCCTGCTGCTGCTGGTCCTCCTCCAATGAATGCTGAAGAGAGAAGGGACTCGTTGGCAGTTGCAGCCCAAAGGAGAAGCGTACCTTGCCTTACCTGACAGATATACCACCCCACCGCGTGAGGCCTACTTTTCGTTCGTCAACGGATGCACACCTACCTGGGTAGTTTGCTGTGATGAAGCCATCCTTTCCGGGTATAGAGAATGAAGACGCCCAGGCAGCGGATGGAAAAGACGAGGGACAACGCATCACGGTTGGGAAAGCCCCACCATTAAAAGTAAAATAAAAATTTAACGGCGGTTGCAGTGACGGCGGAAGTGACGGTGACCTCCAGCTGACCTCACTTGAGGGACCTTCTTCAGGTTACCTTACCTCATTCTGTGGCAGGCATCTTGCCCAGCCCCTCGAAGAAGCACCTTCGAAGCACCGAGCAAAGACACGGCCATATGGACACTGGGCCTTCATGTTGCTAGCTCCAACACCACCACCAGCTCGCGTCTGTCTGCCTCTTCATCTTCACCTCGGGGCGCCTCTCCTGCTGCACGCATGCATGCCATATGCACCACTTGGGATATCCCGTCGCGAGAAAAAGTAAAACTGCTCCAGACGCTCGCTGCACCTGAACCCCGTCGACCACTCGCAGACCTGGACCTGGACCTGGACCTGGACCTGAACCCCACGACACGGCCGTCCAGGGCAACGGTGCCCCTCCCCCTCTTCTCGGATCACCCCGGTCGCCATCACTTGTTTTCCATACAAATCAGACCGACGCTCGCCTCGTCCAGCCTGCTACTGCTGCTGCGATTGCTGCACCCGCGAAAAGCTCCCACCCTCGTCCAATCCAGCCGAGCCCGGCAGTACCCAACGCCAACACCACCAACTCCCGATCAATCCCAGCTGCGCATGCCTTACTACACCAGCTCACAGCTCCATCGCCTACATTGACGTCGACGTCGTCGGTTGCCATCCATCTTATCCCAAACCAAAACCCATCTGGCCGAAACCCAGGCCGACCGGGCTCGATCCAAGTACCGTGCCGCATAGCCCCGCGACGTGCCGCCTTGGACAAATCACCTTTCTCGCCGAATCAGTCTCTCGCCAATGCAGCCCCGGACGTAATCTGCAGTCCTCAACCTGCCTGACACCATCGTGTCTGTCTAAAGTGAGCTCATCTGGCCCTCTCAGTCGTCTCCGAACAACACCACTCAACTTTGTCAAGCTGTCCCCCCCGGATGACAACACATACATTGCAGCTAGCACGGCCCGCACCAATTGTTCGTCGATAGCCTCCAGCTTGCTTTCCCGCTCCCTCAAAAGGCACTGCGAGTCCTGTACCCCCCGCCTCCGTCCCTCTCACACCACCTGAACATGGTCGACTTCTTCACCATTTTCTTGCTGCACATGTCCATCCTGCTCCGTCACAGCATCTGATGTCCCATCTTGCCTGCGGCTACCCGCATTCTATCCGCCACTCTCGAGTTGCAAGTAGACGTCCACAACACAACGGCCGCCGTCATTCCTGTTTCGCCTTCCCCGCGCCCGGCCACCCCCCAGCCGCTGCCAGCTCAATTTAGCTCCGACCTGGCACCAAGACCGGCTCAAACCAGGCTTGACCAGGCCTGTGGTTGACCGTCTTTCCCTTCCAAGGCCCATCCTTGTCACCCGCCTAGTTAGGTCCCGGACCTGGTTCGCGGGCCTATCCATAATTAACACACTTTGCCCCCCCCCCCCATAACTACACCGCTCAGAGCCTCACCTCACACCGTCGTCTTGTCGAGCTCATCGAGAACTCGACAGACTCGAAATCGACGACACTCAACTGCACTCAGTCGCCATGGCGCAAATGAGCGCCCCCTCAGAGCCGCCGCCGCCGTCATCGACGAGCCAGCCGCCAAGTACCAGCTTTCTTCGCAAGTTGTTCGGACGAAACAATGCGTCCCGAGCTCCGGGTCCCGCCGGCCCGACCCAGACAAAAGGGCCCGAGACCGAGCCGGAGCCCGACTCCGATGACCCGCAAAACGCTGAGCTAGGCCGCCGTTCAAGAAAGGTCGTGCCCGGGCTTCCCCGAGTGCAGACCTTCAAACGCCAGCAATCGGAGCGCAGGAATAACCTCGCACCCGTCGAGCCCTCACCCGCCGAGAGGCGTGCCTTGTCCGTCGACAGGCGCATACAGCCTTCACGCACAGCGTCGCAGACTCACTCATTCCCTCGGGCCAGCGCCCCGGACCTCTTTGAGAATGCGCCGCTGGATGTGCAGTCAGCCCCATCGGCACCGGTCAGTCCCATCGAGGAAAAGGCTGAAGGCAATGTAGCTCCGATGGTGGCTCCGATAGTAGCTCACGTTGGGGAGCCTGTGCCCGAAGAGTCCCATATCCACGACCTCCAATCCAACTCAGACGCCCATTCCGTGACGACATCCCAGTCTCACTACGAGGCCATGATCCATGACGAGCTTGAGACGACCTGGATCCTAAACCTCAGCATGCACTTCCGAGACAAGTCTAAGCGGGAAAAGTTCTTCGTCACGTATCGAGAGACGCCCACCCTCTGGCGGCGGGTGACCATCTCTCTAGACTACCGCAACGCGCCTGACAACTCTCTCGAGATGGATCTGCTGCACACCAAGTCGCAGCGGGACAAGAGTTCTAAGATTTACGAAGCCATCAGGGACAGCCTGCAGGACATTCAGTTTTACCAGTCCGTCACCAACCTTAAGCTGCAGACAACCGACGGCCGGCTTCACGTGCACGTCGTGGAGGACGTCAATGTAAGTTGTGCAGAGTTGTAACAGTCTGAACCTGCCCTAACCAGTTCCAGGAAATCATCCAGTACCCCGCAGTCCGCCAGGTACAACACCTGGGTTGTCGAAGGATAAGAGAGAGGGACATTCAGTTTGACTCGCATATGTCTGGCTTTGTGTACAAAGTATGCGTTGGTGGCGAGGTGCTCATTAAGAAAGAAATCCCCGGCCCCGACACCATCGACGAGTTCCTCTACGAAATCAACGCTTTGAACCGGCTTCGCTACTCGAGAAACATCATCCGGTTCTACGGCGTTGTTGTCGATGACGACGACGAGCACGTCAAAGGCCTGCTCATCAGCTATGCCGTCCACGGGGCTCTCATCGACGTCATCTACGACAACCGACAGGAGTCGGAGCTTGGGCTGCCGTGGCAAATCCGCGAGAAGTGGGCGCGTCAGATCGTGCAGGGACTGGCTGATATCCACGAGTCCGGTTTTGTCCAGGGCGACTTTACGCTCTCGAACATTGTCATCGACTACGACGACGACGCGAAGATTATCGACATCAATAGACGGGGCTGTCCCGTAGGCTGGGAGCCGCCAGAGGCAACGCCGCTTATCGAGAGCAACCAGCGTATCTCAATGTACATCGGTGTCAAGTCTGATCTGTACCAGCTTGGCATGGTTCTGTGGGCGTTGGCAGCACAGGACGACGAGCCTGAAGCTCAGGGACGGCCTCTTCAGCTTGGAGAAGAGCACACCGTCCCGGCGTGGTACCGACAAATTGTGGACATCTGCCTGAGCGAAGACCCGCGGATGCGCCTGCAGGCCTCATCGCTCATGTCCCTCTTCCCCGGGCCCACGGACGGGGACGACGTGGCCCCTCCATCCATCTCGGTCGATGATGGCTACTCCATGCAAGAGTACTTCGTGGACGGCTACAACAGTCGGGGGAGGGTCAGGACCGTGCAGCCGTCCCAAGACTGGGCATACGTCAACATGGGGCCTCAGCACGGAAACCCGAACGGAGGGTTCTCCCAGGACCCCTATTACTACACCAGAGGCCGATCCCCTCCGAGCCCTCTCCCGAGCCACTACGCCGGGTGGGCTGGTGCTAAGAACATTGCGCCTTCATACAGCGACATCGGGGCCGATGAAATTTTGGAGCCCAAGAGTGCCACGCCGACAACGAGCAAGGACTCTGTCGCGACCCCGGAGCCGTTGGAAGAGACGAGCAGAGCCATGCAGCAGAAGTTAGAGGAGCTGCAGTTCACGCCAATGTCCCTGCCGCCCTTGGACGAAGTCGAGGTCGACCACACGCCGGTTCAGGAGGACACCAAGCTCGTGCATGATGAGCTTGCGCAGGTGCTGTCCAGACAGGAGCAAGCGGACACGCGCACCTCTGCGGACCCTGTCGACATGCGGACGGCGGTGGCAAGCCCCATGACGATCAAGGATGACGCTGATGTGGGTAACGACACGGAAGACGAGCGGTTTAGCACCGAGGACGAAAAGGAGGAAAGAGAGCAGCAGCAGCGGGGAAAAGTAGCACCAGGGCAATCAGCGCCCGAAGAAAAGGGGTCCACAGAACCCAAAGACCAAATGGACAGGAACGATCATGTCTTGGGCGCAGAGAAGGACGTTGCAGCTTGTAGAGACGTGGCAACGAAGCCGATCACCACCCCGCCCTCTGGGGAAGCTCCGCCACTTGCTCGTTCGGAGGCGTGGCCGGAGGCCGAGAAGGGCTCTGCCGCCGCCGTCGAAACCCGGCCGATATCAGCGGAACGAACTTCTGCCGGAAGCATCACCAAAGCCGACGCCCCGGAGCTTAAGGGGGTTGGAGGGGCGCACTCGGGCGGAGACGACCGGGTGGTTCGCGAGAAGGCGTCCTACGATGAAGACTTGGCATTTGGCGACGATTAGCACGACAGCGGCGACGACGACGACGACAACGACGACGACATCGACAGACGTTAGCATGTAACACCAGCAGGAGGTTGGCATTTGCAGGCGACTTTGCATGAGGGGGCAACTTGTATTCCGGACACTGAAGGCATTTGGTTTTTTTTCCGTTTTGGCGATGACACCATATTTTTCCCCAGCATAGCATCGGTGTAGATCCTTGAGGACCATGTATGTGTAATAGATGGTTGTGTGACACCAGCCCGACTTCTCTCACACGCCAGCATTGGCGAAAGTGAAACTCCGAGTTTGCCTTTTGGTCTTTGTCAAAGTGAATTTTGGGCTTTTGGAAACCTTGCAACAGACCACAGTTTGTCCCTGCGTGAGGAATGCGAATCATGAACAGGAGTAGAGCAAATCAGACGAGACCGAGCCCTTTATCAAAGCACTCGCGGTTGCCAGAAATTCTCCTAGATCTAGACGGATGAGACTGAGCCCTCGATCCAAGCGCGCGCAGCTGCTACCAATCCTCCGGATCTTTCCATGTAACGGCCGAGCAAAGCGACCCAAGCTGACGGGGGACTTCAATGTTAGAGAGGTGGCGAGTCAAGCAGTCAGAGCTCATCTCAGAGCTCTGCGAAAGCTTCCAGCCTGGGAGCTTGGGGCGCTTTCACTCGGAGGCGGCTAGCTCCCGCGGCAAAACGTTTGGATGAAAGGAGCGATGGATTGACAGGGCGGGTCGGGTGTGGCGGCGGCCAAGTCCTAGAGGGAGCGCTTTACCATATCGGGTTAGCATAGAAAGGTTCCAGAAGGGTGAACCTTTTCTCTCCCTCAGGGCGAAGGACCTCTGCGTCTGCGAATCGTTGATCGTGAGTCTCGTCTCGAAATATGGTTATCTAATCTCCCACGTGACCGATCGTTAGCCACCGCCATGAAGGGGCCAGAGGGGATCGCGATGGCCAGTGATGGGCGACGGAAATCCACAATGGAGAGAAGAAGAGCAAGCAACCTCGGGATGGCGGGCAAAAGACACCTGTGATCCCTGCCGTGTCCTGCAGCTCTGGGGCGGAGGTTTGCGGGGCAGGGTCCTGTTTCTGTTGGGGATGGGCCGGGATGCCGGAGTGGGATCTGGGTCGTCGTCTTTTTTTCTGTCAAAAAAGATCATCGAACATAAGCGAAGTTCATGACGGAATGGGCCCGGCTTTGGGGCGGTTGTGAATGTCACAAGACGGTCGATCGAGGGGCTGCCGAGGTCAAGGATGGATTGCATTCATCTGCCATTGACAGACGCTCACGTCGCCGCCGTCTTGTGAGAACGAACCAAATTACCTGCTTAGTTGAGTTCCACGAGACCGTTGTCGCGGCGATAAGGGAGAGAGAGTGACAAGTTCCCTGCCCAGGTGGAGGCGCCCTACCACAGCAGAGCTCGGAGGCAACGTGAGACCTTCGTCACTCGATGGAGCTTTGGTGGGGAACATGTTGAGGGAGAGCAGAACGAACCGCCACCGCCGATTCAGACTACTCTGTTGGTTCGTTGTCGCCTCCATTCTCGCGGTGTGTTCTGTCTCTGCGCATGATGCAGCGGGGGCCTAGACAAGAGGTCGGTTGATCGGTCAGTCTGAGACAGCGGCTTGAAGCCTGCGACTGGGTGAGTCGCCTCAGTCATTTTTGGCGCGATCCCGACTTTTTCCTGCTGCCCCCAAGAAGGGACATGAGGATGGCCAGTTCTCGTCCGATGGAGCAGCGGTAAGAGATTGTTCTTTTGGGAATGAATGATGGTGTCAGTCAGAAAGGCAAGTAGCTGCAGGAACAGAACTACTGCATAGGGCAAGGCGGGAGATGTCACTGTAGGACAAGGCTCGAGGCATCTCTGGTTGCCTTGTCTCGTCTGTCGAACCGAGGTGTTGCTGGCGAGGAGCGGCGGTCTCTGACATCGCCACTTTGACGAGACGGCATTTGGGGATGTGCATCACAGAATTGCGATGCGATGCGGTGTTTGCAGGGAGCACCGGGCCAGGCCAACAGGCCAACAGGCACTGCGAGTTGTGAAGTTCTCACAGCACAGGAAGCTCTCTCTTCAGCCCTCAGCCCTGGGGGAGTCGCGGAAAGAGTGCAGATGGGTGTGGTGTGGGTGAGGTGTGGATGGGCGTTGCCCGATGAGGTAAGGTGGATTCCAGCCGCCCATCCGCCCCGCCCCAGCGGCGACCACATGGCAGGGGTCAGCCCCCGTCCCGTCCAATCAAGGACCCGTCATATTGAAAAGCGTTGGGGAAGTTGTTGGGAGCCGGGGCCTTTTTTTTTTTTTCTTTGGACCGCATCTCGTGCGTGCTTGCCAGTTATTCATTGCAGATTGACAACCTCCCACCCTCACTACGGCGCAGAAAAGGCACAATGTGTACTTGCCTGCAACCCCAGAGCCCCCCTCCCCCCCCGACAAGGCACCAAAAAAGCCAGCCAAGGTGTGACCTGATCTGGGGCCGTCAATCGTCTCATCCTCGGCTGTGCGGAGAGATCCTGCGCTCAGGAAGAGCCCGAATTTGCTTCTGATCCCCAAGCCTCGAGTCGGAGATGGCATGTTTTCGAGCCATCATGGCCGCGTTTGATGACATTTGAATGCTTTTTGTTGGCTCCTTGGGGATAAGGGTCCTCCTGTAAAGGGATCTGAACAGTTGAATCTTGCCGTTACGGTCCCTCTCCCAACGAAGACTAAGAGATATGGGCCAAGATTGCTCAGATCATGCTGTGTACTTGCTGCCGCCGCCGCGCATGGGCGTGAGGTTAAGGTCGAGGCCGTGACAGGTAACAGACGGACCGACGGAGCAGCCAGCGGAGGGAAGGGAGGGATTCCTGGATTCAGAGCAACGCCGGCAAGCGACGTGGAGGTTTAAGCAGAGAAGGTGATGATTTGGCAATGGCTAACATGTGCTAGGCAACTGCTATCATGTAATGCAGCTGCTGTGATGTAAGATGGGTGAAGGTCACTTCCTATTACGATCCGCTCTACACCACTAACAATTGGCATATCTGCAAGGGAAGCCGCGCCTGGTACCTTTCCGGCGGTGGCAGGTGTGCGAGATACAACCACAACTGGGCACTTGCATTCTTGCCAGTCCATATCAGCATCTGGCCGCTGCTCGGGATACACGCACACGCGTCTCTCAAGGCACGGTGCCTGGGTCACTCTTCGGTGAAGTGCGGCGGCGGGGACGGGGCCTGGGAAACTAGGTGGTCCAACGGGAAGCTTCTTCGTCGCTGTGCCTCCCCATCTGCCCATTTTCTTTGCAAATCCCGGCCAGGTCCAAGTCCCGCCAGCAAGTCAAGTCAAACCCCACGACCCACGGTGCATCTGTCTTTGCATTTTTGGCTGATTGTGAATGCTGGTCCTGACCTGATTGATTCACCAACGCCCACCCGCCCCCCCCCCCTCCCCACTACCCCTCCCACCCTTCCACTTCCCACTCAACTCGTTTGCTGGGATTTTTTGATCCTGGTGGGTGGCGGACAACTCGCCCAAAGGTACCCCGGCTTCCGTACTCCGTACCTTTTTTCCTCCTTGCTGGGGCCTGGTCAACCATCTGGTATCCCTTTATATAACTCCCGGCTCTTCAACCCCCCCTCCTCTCTCTTTGAACTTCGTCTCCAGACTTGCCCTCACACCCAAAGTCCATCGCCCGCCTGGCTCTTGGACACCGACCTCGTTGTTGTGTGGACGTTGCTTCGACCACAAGGCACACCGATTGTCTCCGGCTTAGACAGCTCCGGAGTCCCTCGACTTCCGAACAGATCCGACGACCTCCCCAGTGAAGCCCATTGGCTCTCATCAACATGTCGGCGGCAACTTCATCCTCGGCCGCGAAGCCTAAGGAGGTTTCGGCCTTCCCTGATGGCACCAGCGACTACGTCCCCGTCCGCGCCTCCAAGGCATACGACAACAAGAAGCCTCACATGTGCGTCTTGACAACATTTGGTTAAACCACCAGTCGCTAACTTTCACACAGTTCCACCCAGCCCATCACCTGGGGTAACTGGTACCAGCACGTCAACTGGTTGAACACAACCTTCATTCTGGTGATCCCCTTGGTCGGCCTCATCTACTCCTATTGGTGCCCTCTTCAGTGGAAGACCGCCGCCTTCGCCGTCATCTACTACTTCAACACCGGTCTCGGAATCACCGCTGGATACCACCGTCTTTGGGCTCACCGTTCCTACAAGGCCAGCCTGCCCCTGAGAATTTACCTCGCCGCCGTCGGTGCTGGTGCCGTTGAGGGTTCCATTCGCTGGTGGTCTCATGGCCATCGTGCTCACCACCGCTACACCGATACCGACAAGGACCCCTACTCCGTTCGCAAGGGCCTCCTCTACAGCCACATCGGCTGGATGGTCATGAAGCAGGACCCCAAGCGCATGGGCCGTACCGATATCTCCGATCTCAACGAGGACCCTGTTGTTATGTTCCAGCACATCCACTTCATCAAGTGCGTCATTGGTATGGGTGTCGTTTTCCCTACCCTCGTCTGCGGTCTCGGCTGGGGCGACTGGATGGGCGGCTACATCTATGGTGGCATCCTCCGCATCTTCTTCGTCCAGCAGGCTACTTTCTGCGTCAACTCTCTGGCCCACTGGCTCGGTGACCAGCCCTTCGACGACCGCAACTCACCGCGTGACCACGTCATCACTGCCCTCGTCACTCTCGGTGAGGGATACCACAACTTCCACCACGAGTTCCCCTCCGACTACCGCAACGCTATCCAGTGGTGGCAGTACGACCCCACCAAGTGGAGCATCTGGATGTGGAAGCAGCTCGGCCTCGCCAGCGACCTGAAGCAGTTCCGCCAGAACGAGATTGAGAAGGGTCGCGTCCAGCAGTTGCAGAAGAAGCTCGACCAGAAGCGTGCCAAGCTCGACTGGGGTGTTCCCCTGGAGCAGCTGCCTGTCATCGACTGGGACGACTTCGTTGCTCAGGCCAAGGGCGGACGCGGACTCGTTGCCATCGCTGGTGTCATCCACGACGTTACCGACTT